ATGCACAAGCTTTGGGTTCTGACTATAAAAAGTGTGAACAAATCAATGCCAGATTCCTGTTTTGCGCATCATCATGGGATTCTTAAGTGAACCTTTCTAACTGTGGTCTTGTTCACATGCTCTATGTAGCTGTAACTTCACATCATCAGCTTGCAGTTTGTAATTGACTAAAGCATTCCAGTGTCCTCTTTCTAGATTGCCAGTTCATGACATGGTGCTTATAAAGATTTAATTAAAGTAAGAATGAAATAAAGTTTTTATAATTATCATAGTTCCTGTTTGCACATCATTTTTTCCTCTTAATGTTCATGCCTTCAGTACTAAATGAATAGCTTATTCCTACACTCACTGATACAAGTAGGCCACAAAAACTCTATTCAAAGTAAAACTAATCTCCAAGCTCTAGTTTCTTTCATTTTTTATTTTCTTAATTGAATGCCAAAATATCCAGTACATGGAGGCAGAAAAGGCCTGGAGATTGACATCATTTTTTGTTTGTTTCTATATTTATCTATCTATGTAATATGTGTTTTCTATTTATGTATGTCACTATCCATTTATGTAATATACATCTTTTTATTATAACAAACATGACAAATAGTACTTATCATCCCTATTTTACAGATGGTGAAATGGAAGCTAATGAAAAGGTATATGATTTGTCAACAGATTCATTCTTACTTAGCATCTATGTCTTTATCACTAAACACATTGTTTCCCAAATGTCACAAAGATAGACAAAGAAAATTCAGAATTTCATTTCTATGGTTCTTCATCAATTTTCTCTTAAAGTAGTAGTATCCTCATGGGCATCTTCAATCTCCCATTTGCTATGTGCTTTATTAGAAAACTTGTGTCTTTCTTTTGAAAAAAATTCAGATAAAGCAAACTTTTCCTAGTAAAGCTGATTTTCATTTAATCATGAAGGCATTTAACAAAAAATCCACAAACTTGCCCAAAATTTTTTTTACCCAGTTATGTTTACTATATTATTCTATAGAGGATTCTGTTTCACTGTGTGACCTCGACTTCATTTCTACTCACATGATTGCACCACACACCAGCAAAATCATTATGAGCACAACTTTCCACAAAGCTCAGAGGTCTATGCAGCCCCTGAAATGCAAAAAACAAGAGTTCTCTTTCTTTGCAACAAAATATCGTGCTTGCTTTGTTTGGGCACCATAGAAGCCACTTTATCAGGAGACAATGGGAGAGGGGTTGCCTGCTATTCTCAAAACTCAAATTCAAAAGCTCGTGCTTTATATATCCTTAAGGGGTTCCCCAAGTAGTCTTAACTATGCTTTCCCAAACCCCCAGCCATGCCCCTTTGGGCAGATGTCCTGGCAGAGCTCTACATGCTTTTTCATTCGTTTATGGCATCCTATTCCTAAATTAGTTATTTCTTAAATGGCTGTTATGTCATTGAATTTTATAGATCGCCTTTCTATAATTATCACTAAGGAAATGTTGGAAGTATATGGGCCAGAGACAAACCAGCAACTGGGAATTTTTAAGTTTTAAAATCATTCTTGAAAATAAGTGTTAGCTCTCTTAGAGCTGTCTTCTAGCCTTTTCTAATACTTAGGCTTTGGAGTCTGTATTAGTTAGGGTTCTCTAGAGAGACAGAAATAATAGAATAAGTATATAAAGGAGTTTATTAAGTAATAACTTATATGATCACAAGATCCCACAATAGGCTGTCTGCAAGCTTGAGGAGCAGGAAAGCCAGTCTGAGTCTCAAAACTGAAGAACTTGGGAGTCCAGTGTTCTAGGGAAGGAAGCATCCAGCACAGGAGAAAGATGTAGCCAGGTAGGTCAGTCTTCTGCCTCCTTTATATTGGCTGGCAGCTGATTAGATTGTGCCCACCGGATTAAGGGTGCATATCTGCCTTCCCCAACCCACGGAAGGTGTTGCCAAATGTTAATCTCTTTTGGCAACACCTTCGCAGACACACCCAGGATTAATACTTTGTATCCTTCAATCCAATCAAGTTGACACTTAGTATTAACCATCAGTTTTTAGATAAAAGTTTTGCTGTGTTGCAGCCAAATGATCTCTGACATTGATAAAAAAATAACAGAGGATATTTTTCGCCTGGACATGGAGAGGCCACATGTTTCCCTCCATACTGATGTGCTCATTCAGTATTCATCTTACCACAAGAATCTCTTGGATTCCAGGCATTCATGTTGTAAACTTGGAATCAGATAACCAGTTGCCGCTCCTTCTCATATCTACTCTTTTCCCAGAAAATGGTATGAAAGAAGAGGTTCTTAGCATCTGAACTTACTAGATACCAGTAAATACTAAAATGCAGGAGAGCAGTGGCAGGTTGTAGCTCAACTGGATATATGAGATGGGCAGTCTACTAGCTTTAAAGGACCACCTTTGAGATTTGCCTTTTTTTTTTTTTTTTTTTAATTTTATTTTTGGAATGGAGTTTCACTCCTGTCGCCAGGCTGGAGTGCAATGAGGCGATCTTGGCTCACTGCCTTCTCTGCCTCCTGAGTTCAAGCAATTCTCCTGCCTCAGTCTCCCAAGTAGCTGGGATTTGTAATCCTACCGCCATGTCCCGCTATTTTTTGTATTTTTAGATACAGGGTTTTGCCATGTTGGCCAGGCTGGTTTCAAACTTCTGTAATCCCAGCACTTTGGGAGACCAAGGTGGAATCCCAGGCCTCCCAAAGTGCTGGGATTACAGACATGAGCCACCGTGCCTGGAGATTTGCCTAACTTTCATAGAGGAATGACAATTGAGCATTTTTATTTAATTTCTTTGCACTTTGGCAAGCTTTCTTTTTGATAATAAAATAGCCAGAAATTAATAATCTGTCACATACCCTGGGTATAATATGTAATATTTACCTTGTAAAATGTTTTTACAGGGAGAGGCTCTACATCCTTCCTAGGTTTATTTTAGTGTTTTAGTAAACACCCCTATTTAATGTGGAGTCCGTGTGCTATTTCATTCAACACTAAGTGAAGATAGAAGGCAACTGGCTATGCCTCCCTTAATAATTTCTATTTGCATATTATTTCATAGTCTCACAGTGTAGGGAGGTTTGGAGTAGTAGAGATACCTGAATTTGTTTACAACTCTGGTCTATTCAAGCAGTCTGTAGAGTATTATTATATCTCTGAAACTAAAAGGAAAAGCTCTGTCTTGGGATGATCCACTTTAAGTAAGTTATAAGTGGCTTTCAGAATATAAATTCCCCAAAAATCAATGGAAATGTGGTAGATCTATATGACACTTCTGAACTTCCAGTCTCCTCCAACGTGATTTGAAGTGCTAACCTGGAAGATAACAAACCACAGAGAGACCCTGTTGTTATCAAATCCAGAAAGACACCAATGGAGAGTTTTGAAACCACTGAAGCAAACATAGGTCCCTATGGAGTATTTGAAAGCGCCCTCTTTAATGTTACGACTATGTTGAAACTAATCAACTCCATCAGAATAAATCAGCACTCAATATTCTGTGTTAGATGTTAAGTATTATCAATCATTTAATACAATTGGCAAGTCCATCATCATGAGATGTTACCTGTCATAAAATGCCTTCCCCCTCATGCTCTCTGGGCAGATTTATTTAGTCTTTTAGGTTATATTAGTCTTGATTACATCAGGAATAAGTAGCATTTAGGCCAAAAGACTCCAACCCTCAGTACGTAAATGTAATCTATGCAGTCTATTAAGATGTAGAATATGAAGAAGAGGAATATCTAAATTGAGTCGCCAGTACCTTCTTTTATTTATTTATTTATGAGACAAAATCTCCCTCTGTCTCCCAGGCTGGAGTGCAGTGGCATGATCTCGGCTCACTGCAACCTCCACCTCCAGAGTCCAAGTGATTCTCCTGCCTCAGCCTCCTGAGTAGCTGGGACTACAGGCATGTGCCACCATGCCCAACTAATTTTTGTATTTTTAGCAGAGATGGGGGGGTTTTGTCATGTTGGCCAGGCTGGTCTCAAACTCCTGACCTCAGGTGATCTGCCTACCTCGGCCTCCCAAAGTGCTTGGATTACAGGCATGAGCCACCACACCCAGCCTCTTTTCTTAAATAGAAATTAGAATGTACAGGTGGCCAAAAACTATGCATGTAAACAATACTGCATGGTTGTGGAGATAAAATCTAACTAAGAAAGTAGAGGAAAAATATGAATGTCATGACATCCACCTGTTATTTGTTGAGAAAGGAGTGGGAAATTCACGCCTGCTAGACAAGCAGGAACCATGAGTGTGGGAAGTGAGCCATGTATATTTAAGAATGGTCACTCAGGTCATATTATTACAACAAATGTCCTTAGCTTGTATGTTTCCTAATAGAAATATTTTTCATCTCTAGAAAAAAATTCTGCCTCCTGGTTTTATTAAAACACATGTTCCTACTGATTAATCTTGCATTTTCCCACTGTTGATTCAAAAATGGATACTAGATATTCTGCAATCTTCAGCTGTACAATAAGAAACACAAAAATGTGGGTGATGATAAATGATACCTGCTGTTTGACATGGTGACAAAGGGAGCAGTGGGAAAGCTGCCCCCACTGGGACTCACAAGCACATTCAGCACCTGCAGCAGCACATACCTCCCAGCAGCCTTTGCTGCACAGGAATATGGACCCAAGCACGTCCCATTTCCCAAGAGAAGGTAGAAATCAAAATGTTTAGATTAATTGAAAAATTGTTTGAATGTTGGTAAACAATTACGTTTAGAAATATAGACAAAAACAAACCTCTGGCCCAACTCTGTGCTGAACAAACAACCTATCCGAAGGCTACACCTGCTGCAGTCATACAAGAGCTGCAGGCTTCCAGTCTGTGACCTCCATTATGGAATAACTGGTTTTACTGTTTTGACTTTTAAAATCATTTGAAAGAAATATGAGTTTTAGCGGTCTTAAAATAGCTATCATAGCTGTTTTCCATACTTGTTCTTTTTCCTATTTGCCTTATTTCCTCACATATTTTTCTGTTTTAAAAATACATATAGATGAATCTTGACTCCTAAGGTAAAAACGAAACAACAAAAACAAAATCAGCTTCTCTTTTTGCTCCTTTGTATTTGAACTAACTTCAGAAAAGCATGTTTCAGAAAATAATTCTCACATTTTACCTAGTAAGCACTCCCCAAAATGATGACTAGGAAATAATTCTTCTGGAAATAATAGTACTGAGAATTCAAAAGAGGAGCAGTTGTTCTGTGAGCAGTGGGATGGCCAGAGCCATTTTAGTCACAAGTGCAGAACAGCATCTGTGGAAGCCCACACTTCCAGATTGTGATGATACCTGCTGGTTGCCATGGCAGGTGTAAAGCAGTGTGGGCCATTGCCAGCTCACAATGGGAACCTGAACTCTGGTTCTATAAATGTAATTACCTGAAGCAGTCAGCAGTCCAAAATTGATTTCTCTTCACCTTCATGTTATATTCTTGGAATGATAAAGTAAATGTGTATTCATTTATTACTTATTTTCCAATGTCACGTTTTTTATTGCCTGTGATCAAACGTGGTCATTGAGGGGAAAAAAATCTCATTTTGAAATTAGAGAATTGATTTTTTTCTCATGAAATTATAGAACGTTAGATGGACATTAGAAATGATCTAACCTTGTGCCCTTGTTGTCGTTAAGAAATTAAAACCCAGTGAAGTCGTATGTCTATCTGAAGAAGGCCATCTAGTAAATAGTTTAAGCTTTGCGGGCCATTGGCTTATGTTACCTTGTTGCCAGGAGACCCTCCCTTGAAGATTTGCTGAAGGAAGTTCTTCAGACAGAAAGTAATTGAAAAAGGAAGGAATCTTCAATTATCAGGAAAGGAGAAAGAACAATGAATAGCAGAATTATGGGTACCTAAGAAAACATTCTTTACATGTATTTGTCCCACAGATCATTTTTGATTATTGAAACAAAATTCCAGTGCCATCTGATGCTCAATAAAATGATAGTTAGAAGTGGGAAAGGGAAGACATCTAAGTAGAAATAAGGTTTTGTTTTCATTTTTGTTTTTGTTTTGAGATGGAGTCTCACTCTGTCACCCAAGCTGGAGTACAGTGGCAAGATTTGGTCTCACTGCAACCTCCATCTCCCAGGTTCAAGCGATTCTCCTGCCTCAGCCTCTCAAGTAGCTGGGACTACAGGTGTGCGCTAGCACCCTCTGCTAATCTTTGTGTTTTTAGTAGAGACAGGGTTTCACCATATTGGCCAGGCTGGTCTCAAACTCCTGACCTCATGATCCACCTGCCCCAGGCTCCCAAAGTTCTGAGATTACAGGCATTAGCCACTGTACCTGGCCAAGTAAGGTTTTTATACTTCACTTGAAGTGGTAAAGTACTGATACCACTAGATTGTAAATACATCACATGTTTCAGTATAATTGTCAAAGAAACCACTGAGAAAAGTATATGAAAACATGCACTATAAATGAATCAAGATGGAATCCTAAAACATGCTCACATAACCCACAGGAAGGTAAGGAAAGAGAAACAGATGAATAAGAACCAGAGAAAATAAACAGAAAACAAATAAATGACAATTGCTGATGTATCAATCATTACTGTAAAAGTTGTTTTTTTTAAGCCAATAAAACATGTAATTTGAAAAATTGGATAAAAGCCAATAATAAAAAACATGATGCAACTGTATAGTATATATGAGAATCTCAGTTCATATTCAATGAAATGGGTAAGTTGAGAGTAAAAGGAAGGAAAATGGTGTACACAATGCAAACAGTGAATTAAAAAATCATGAGTAGCTGTAGTAACATCTGATAAAGTAGACTCATGCACAAATAAAATTACTACAGACATAGAGGGCGATTAACTAATGTTAACTAATCCAAAGGAAGACATATGGTGCTAACTATACATACCAAAACGCACAACCCCAAATGCATGAAACAAAAACGAATAGAGATAAAGGTAGAGAAATCTACAATTATGACTGGAAACTTCAAACACCCCCTTTCTGCACCTGGTAGAATTACTAGTCAGAAGATCAGCAAAGATATAGAAATCTTACAATATAATCAATCAACAGATCTAATTGATGAAACATAGAATACTCAACAACAGCAGAATACACTTTATTCCAGTTCCTGTAGAACATTTGCCAAGATAAATTATATCATGGACCATAACATAAACCTCAACAAAACATATTTAAAATAATTCTGTAGATTATGGTCTTTGTCCATTAAGATATCAAAATAGAATTCATTAACAGAAAGACAGTAGGAAAGTCTAAAATATATGGTCATTAAGCTATACTTTACTAAGTAATTCATGAGTCACGGAGTAAGTTTCAAAGAAAACTCTTTAAGAACAGAAATGAAAGAACTGTAAATCAAAATTTTCTAAGAGGCAACTGACATAGTCCTCAGCAGGAAATTTATAGCATTAAATGCTTACATTTGAAATATGCAAGCTCTCAAATCAATTACCTCAGAACCTGTCTCAAGAAAATACAGAAAGAATAAGCAAAACAAAAGCAAACAGAAGTAAGGAAATAATAAATATAAGAGTAGAAATCATTGGTAATGAAAATAATAAAACATTAGAGAATATCAATGAAACAAAAATATCATTCCCAAAAAAATCAATACGATAAATAAATCTCTAAAAAGACAAACAAAAATTAAAAGAAAGAAAATAAAAATTAATATCAAGGTTAAAACAGGACATCATTATAGATACCACACACATTAAAAAGATAGTTGAGCCAACAACCAGCCCATTACAGCAATCCCATTATACCCAAAAGAAAATAAATCATTCTGCCAAAAAGACACATGCACTTGTATGTTCATGGTTATGCTATTCACAATAGCAAAGACATGGAATCAACCCAGGGGCCCATCAATTATAGATTGGATAAAGAAAATGGAGTACATACACATGATAGAATACCATGCAGCCACATAAAAGGATGAAATTTTGCCCTTTGCAGCAACATGGATGGAGCTGAAGGCCATAATTCTAAGTGAATTAATGCAGGAACAGAGAACCAAATACCACATGTTCTCATTCATAAATGGGAGCTAAACATACAGTACACAGACATAAATATGGGAACAACAGACACTGTGGACTACTGGAGAATGGGGGGCATTACAAAACTATCAGGTACTATGCTTACTTTTTGGGTGACAGGATCTGTACCCCAAACCTCAGAATCACACAATATTCCCATGTAACAAACCTGTATATATACCTACTGTATCTAAAATAAAAGTCAAAATTTGAAAAAAAGATAATACTGCAAAAAAACTTCATATTAACAAATTGAACAATTTATAAAAGATGGAAAAATTTCTGAAACACTATAAACAGTTAAAACTCAACTAAGATAAAATTGATATTTTGGAAAATATGGAAAATGAAAGCAGAACCATTAAAGAAATTGAATTTATAATTCAAAATCCTCAAAAAAGGAATCTCTGAGCTTAGATTGTTTCACTGGAAATTTCTACTAACCATGTAAAGAATTAACACTGATTTTATGCAATCTTTTCCAAGAAAATAGGAGAGGAGAAAACACTTTTGAACTTCCAAGATCTGGACAGGAAAGTACATAGATTGCAGCTTTGCAGAGAACCCGGCTAAGTCATGACTAGACTTCCTATCCACAGAAACTGTGAGATCATATAAGTATACTATTGTTTAAGTCTCTGAGTTTGTGGTAATTCATTACATTGCATGGAAAATTAATGCAAGCAAAAGTGGAAAAAAAAGAAGAATATAATTAATGTATATAAAACTATGCATTATAAACAATGAAGAAAATACACATGGCTCCTATAATCCATAATCCTCATTTCCGTAATGGGCCATCAGGCCATCTTTGGTATTTATGGTTTCCCTTTTATGAGATACAGGCCCATTGGCCCATTGCCCTCAACTAGCACCAGAGGGTGGGGTAACCCAAATCTTAATTTCTGAAGCATCTAGACCTGCTTTTGTTGGGCTGCTTTTATTTCCCATTAACTCTCAGTATTGGACATGGAAATTCAAAGAGGTTTCTTCAGTTTCCTGTGGCTGCTGTAACAAATGACCACAAACTTGGTAGTTTCAAACAATGAAACTTTATCCTCTCACAGTTCTGGAGGCCAGAGTCAGACATCACTGTATTGGCATTGTTGATTCCTTTTTGAAGCTCCTAGGGAAAAATCTGTCCCAGGCTTCTCTCCAAGCCTCTTTGGCTGCTGGTGACCTTTAGCATTCTTAGGTTCTTTAACAGTCTTGACTTGTAGACATACCACCTTAATCTCTGCCTCCACCTTCTCGTGGACTACTCCTCTGCATTTTTCCTCCTCTGATCATGTCTTCTTTTAGGACACCTGCCACTGGATTTGGTTCACCCTGATAATCCAGAATGATCTCATTTCAAGATCCTTAACTTAGAGTGTAAAAAAAAAACAAAACAAAAAAAACCCACACTTTTTTCCAAATAATATTACATTCACATGTCTAGATAGCTGTATCCTTTTTGGGTTGGGGGTGGGGAGCACATTCAAGCCACAACAGAGGTGCTCCAGAAAAGCCTTTGAATTCTAAACAGTTATCCTGGCCCCAGCAACCATATACTTGACAATTAGTATCAATCACCCAATGAGTACAAAAAACCCAACACCCTGTCCATTTCCACATCTATTGTTTAACTCAAAAGGAGCCTTGAAAGCCAAGCAGCAGAGTCAATTACCAGCTCAATGAAATCATTATTGGGTCCTCTGAGAAATAAAATTCCAAGATCAAAAAAACGAAAATGTCAGGGATGGAAAGCAGAAAACTGTGACTGCTTCATGGGCTGTAATGAGAAGAACCTCTTCTACTTTCATTCTTTGTTCCAGCTGCCTGTATCACTGGTCCAGTCAATTAGGGGCAGGAAGCACAAGCACAGCCATGTGGGGATCCACTTGGATCTAGGAAGCCACCATTCCTAGGAAGCCTGGGATATATGTGCACCTGTGTGTGTATGTTTGAATACATGCTTCTAACATGTTTCCAAAGATATGCCCCGCTACATGTATGACCTACCAGATCATCAAACTATTTCCAATATAAAATCATAAAAAATTTTAGCCACTCTCCAGTGGTAGATAATCCAAATAAATAAAATCCCACCTATTGAATCTAGAGAAAAAAAATGGTATGTAACCTTTAACCCCTGAGTCCATAATCTCTTTTTCAAATGGAAGAAGTACCCTTTTACAGTATAGTCCTTTTCTTACTATTAGAGTATTAGGTTAGTGCAAAAGTAATTGTGGTTTTGCACAATGAATTTTTAGTTATAACTAGGTTTGAATACATCTTTATTAATCAAAATCAGAACCACTATAATCAACACATTATTGCCAATGATAAATAACTTTGTTTATTCTTATAGTGTAAAAGTCTGTGCTTCAGGATTCAACGAACTCTTGGAAAGCATTTTCTGCATCCTGCTGGTT